TATTAACATTAGAAACATCAAATGTATCAAACTTATATCATAAATTATATAAGTATCAACTATGTAAAAATTCCAGAAACATTTCCTTGTTTTCCTTATCGAAAGGCAAGGTTAGTTTGAGATCTCTTCTTTCACCCATCTCTTACATATTATTCTCTAGGATTCTGTTTTTGTTATCTTCCACTTAAGACACTTGGTGTAATACTATGTTTTATTGGTAATGATGTTCTTAATATTTTTGCTTCTAAATAAAGAAACTGTCTCTTCTCTGTTGCTTTCTTAGTTACATTTTAAAGATGTATCTTCTTTTATCTTTTTCTTGACTCTTTTCTAAAATGTTCATTCTTTACACTGCTGGTTACTGTTTCTAAAACACACATTTTCATTTCCACCTGCAATTTTCATCAAATCTATGGAAGCTAAAATGTATTGTTTACTTTCTAGAGAGTAAAAAAAAAAAAAAAAATAGGACATTTATATCTGTTACTTCCTATATTTCTAATTTTAGTTTAGTATGTTTTTAAAAGTACAATATATAATTTGCTAAAATGAAAAGCTGTTTATTGTGGAGGTCAAAAATGGAAAAGGATCATTGGTGCATAGAATCAACTGCAAACTTATTAAAGCTTCCACAGTTTATAATATGGTATGTCGAGCACAAATACAAAAAAAATGATGTACATTATCTCCAACTTCACTCAAGTATTGACAATTAAATGCCTATTATATGCCAAACACTATAAGCATGTTTTATTCAAGTTATTTTTGTTTACATAAAATTGATTTGTGCAAAACTATACCCTTATTTTTTAAAAGATGTCATTTATAACGACTGTTATGCATAAATAAATCTGCTTTATGTTTTCTTAACTGTTGACTCTAAGTTGGGCTTTATATGTTAGGGAAAAACTAACTACAGAGCTAACATAAAAGTAATACAGCTCATATCATCTGAAATTGCATAGTATCTATTCCTGTAAAATATTTTTTCTGGTAGGATAGGTGCCAAGTGATGTTATGATTATAATTATGCATAATGCTATGGGTGGCTCCAACACAGTCTCTGGGTTTTTGTACTTTTTGGCTCAAGAATACATAAGGTGGTAATGACAGTATCACAAGGAATGAAGTACTTCTGATTTTTACTCTTAAACACACTATAAGCATATATGTGTGTTTGGGGGTGAGGAGAATGCTGTTAGGCTTGCTATTTTGGACAGGTTTGGAAAATGTCATTATAAATGAAGAACTGAATCACACAAATGACATACCATAATATGTAACTTTTATTACAAATTATAGCAGCTTTTTCAAATTTATTCACGGGAAATTCATATTATTAAAGTTCCTAATAATATCTGAAACATTTTGTATTCAGTGTATATAGATACAAAGTGACTTCAGATAAGTTTTCTCTTGTGTGTGTGTATTTCCTGCTATTTTTATTTATTTAAACTTTCCTGGGTGGAAATGCAATGCATCAAGCTACTTTCTGTTTGAAATCATAAATGCACAATAATTAGGGACCTAGAGAGTTCTAAGAAGCATGTGATTAGCCCACAATAATGCAAGCTCACATCTGCAGCTGGTCTAAAAACGTCACACAGACCTAATTTTGCCTCAATGCAGATGTAATTTGTTTCTTAGCATTTACATGTAGAAGTAAATTGGTGGCTGTGTTTAACTCATTTGCTACTTAATCATTATTGTATCTTTCCAAACTAGGTTACTGGAACAACAATATACCTGTACATATTGTTACTACTGTAAAATTGGATTTAATAGCCATAAAATATTTCAATATTGCTTAGTGATTCTTCTAGTTTTCTCTAAAGTCTAAATTTACCTCCTGTGCTCACATGTGTATATACAATTTATTTCTGAGCACTTATGCTAGAAAATCAACTAGGTATACTTCAAATTCAGAGTATTTACAAGTGATTAGGACATCACTACTCTCCCATCTTGTTGCCCCACCTGGTTTTCCCGGACTTCTTTCCTTTCCTTTTTGTCAACAAACTTTGAGAACGTGTAATTCTACCTTTTTAATATTTCTGGACTCCACCAGTGTTGTTACATTTCTATTGCCACTGTACTAATCAGTCATCACTGTGATTTTTACTAGATTAGTGCTATTGTCTCTTCCTATTTTACTCACTAGTGTCTTCCTCAACCTGTAAGTAGATAAATATCATTAAAATACAGTAGTAAGTCCTCACACAAGTCACTGATATATTCTTGAAAACTGGAACTTTAAACAACGGACAGCCAGTTCTTGAATAACATTTTTCTCAATGTCTTTTCATTATAATGTTGAGAAGCAAAAAAAAAAAAAAAAATTGGTTTCATTACACATCATTTCACTTGAAGTAGAAGATTTCAAGGACATATGGATAACATTAAGTGAGGACTTACTGTAAAATCTTCCCTCATTAATCCTCATGAAATCTACACAAGATTCTTCATTGCCTTGCCCTCAGATAAAATATGGACTCATTTTCTGACAATGCCTGCTCCTTTTCAAGAGAATCTCTCCTCAAGCCAAAACCTATCTTTCATCATAATTCCTTTCCCTCTACAATTAGAAAGCTCCCCTTCTTTTACCTCCTTCAAGGCCTGCTACTTTGTTAATTAGATGTGCTTTTCCCTGGTGTACCCGTATGAAAGTGAAGAGAATTAAATTTCATGTTGCCTAAGGACACCGATTAAATAAACATCATAACCGAAATTTGAAGAGCATGTGTTTTCACTATGCTTACTTACCTTTCCTCTCAGAAGTTGAGTTTTGTGCAAAGATTGCAGTTTATTTGTTAATTAAATAGTACAATGATTTGCACAGAGAAAACCCTCAATCATTTGTAGCTTTTTTTTTTTTATTGGATCATTACATTAAACTCAGAATTCCTGCGTGGTTTCTTGTCCTCTGGAAACAATGGTGCCTTCCAATATAATGGATACCCTGACTCTGCCTTTTCTGCACTACAGTTTTACCTCTGTTTATAAACCTTCCATTTCTTCATTTTATACTTTCTTTCCCCTTTTTTTCTGCCACCTTTCCAGCATTCCTGCAAAATAAATTGAGTGGAGACTCATTCTAATTTTCATCATTTGCACAATATTTCTGAGTCCTTTATATCTGTGAGAATTCCCACCCTCTGAATTACCATTAAGAGGCACGTGACTGTCACCCCATACACTTTAACGCTAATGATTGCATGAAAATGTTGCATAAAAATTGTATTTAAACCCCAAGTTTATTCTTTTGTAAAACTAATCAGAGAAAAATATTCTGAAGAAAACTGATACCAAAATAATAAAAGAATCTTGGCTGTGCCTGTGTTTCAGTTAGACTGAAACTTGGTGGAAAGAGAACACATAAAAGACTGCAGTGAATTGCTTGTTAATTATGACTTGATACTAGAACTTTTTTTTAAGTATAAGGGATTTTCTTTTTCTTTTTTTTGTTTTTTTTCTAATCAATATTTTTTATTATGATATTGTGGGGTACAGTTAAGGTTTAGGTATACAAATATGCTTCGTTCAGGCACCCTTGTTGATAAGAGGTGTCGCCCCATCCCCAGTCAGATATTTACTACCATTAATCCCATCTCCCTTCCCCTCCCCCCATAGTTTCCCACCACTGTCAGTCATTTTCTTATAGTATTACATTGGATGTTCAAGGTCCATTATATGAGTGAGAACATGTGATACTCAGATCTTTGTTTCTGTGAGAGTTCACACAGTATTATAGACTCTAGTTCCATCCAGGTTGCTGCAAAATTCATGATTTTGTTCTTTTTTATGACTGTGTAGTATTCCATCGGGTATATGTACCACATTTTTTTAATGCAATCCTCTTTTGATGGGCAGCATGGTGGTTTCCAGGTTCTTGCTATTGTGAACAATGCTGCGATAAACATATGTGTGCAGGTATCTTTTCTATAGAGTGAGTTGAGTTCTTCAGGGTATATTCCCAGTAGGGGGATTGCAGGATCATATGGGAGGTCAATATTTAGAACTTTTAGGAATTGCCATACTGTTTTCCACAGAGGTTGCACTAGTTTACACTACCACCAACAGTGTAGAAGTGTTCCCTTTTCGCCACACCCTCTCCAGCAACTGTTATTTTTTTGAGTTATTGATAATTGCCATTCTGACTGGAGTTAGGTGGTATCTCAGTGTGGTTTTGATTTGCATCTCCCTGATGATTAATGAGGCTGAACATTTCTTCATGTGTCTGTTGGCTGCTCAGACGTCTTCCTTTGAGAAGTGTCTGTTCATATTTTTTGCCCATTTTATAATGGGGTTGTTCGTTTTTTTTCTTTACAGCACATTTGAGTTCCTTGTAGATCCAAGATGTTAAGCCTTTGTCAGACCTGGAGTTGGCAAATACTTTTTCCCAGTCTGTAGGGTGTCTCCCTGCTCTCTTGATGGTTTTTTTTGGCTTTGCAGAAGCTTGTCAATTTAATGAGGTCCCATTTGTCTCTTACCTCTTATGGCCTGTGGGTTTCGAATTTTGTCCAGGAATTGGATGCCAGTTCCAATTTCCATGAGGGCATGTTCTTCATTTTCTAAGGTTCTTATGGTTTGAGGTTTAATGCAGGTGTCTATGTAGGGCTGACCATATCACCATATGGTTTTCCTGAACTTGTTTCCTACAGAAGGTCCCCAATGGCTGGTGACACTGTCCATGTAGTGTAGCTCTTGTTTGACTAAAGAAAGCAGCTATCATTTTCTATATATAAGTAATTTAGGAAAAACCTGACTAACAATGTATATTTTTTTATTTAAAGGAATATTTAAATACTTGAATACTACTGCATGTTGCTCAAAATGCAGTCATCAAAGCAACCTGCACTCTGGGATTAGAAGAAAAGCCAATTTCTCGGAATCCATATTCAACAACTCTGCTTGGAAATTTCCAGCAATACATAAAGACCATTTTGTGGCAATTCCTTATGACACTTTCATGATAGATTGTAAAATACAATTGTCCCCAAATGACTGACAAATCAATCATCATTCTGAGCCTGGTGGTTCTTTATAGCCCTTTTATAAATGGAATAACAACATGTAGACAGAAATCGGTGGAAGAATGGCATCCACAGCACTTATCATATGTGGTAAACTGGACACTAACAGAAAACGTCTGCATGGACTTCTATAAAGATTGTTGGATTATGGGTAAAAACACTAAAACGGATACTTCAGGCAATCAAGTCATTCCCCAGATTTGCCCTTTGCAAATTCAACTAGGAGACATCCTTATAATTTCTTCTGAACCATCTCTCCAGACTCCAGAAATAAATTTAATGAATGTTTCAGAAACATCTTTCATTGACTGTGAACAAAATACCACAACTGAAGATCAGTTACTTTTTGGTTGCAAACTAAAAGGAATGCATACTGTGAATTCTCGGTGGCTGAGTGCTGGGACACATTATTTTATCACAGTAATGGCAAGTGGTCCATCACTTTGTCAACTGGGACTTCGCCTAAATGTGACAGTGAAACAGCAGTTCTGCCAAGAATCTCTAAGTTCAGAATTTTGCTCTGGTCATGGTAAATGCCTTAGTGAAGTTTGGAGCAAGACATACAGCTGCCATTGTCAGCCTCCGTTTTCTGGAAAATACTGCCAGGAACTTGATGCATGTTCTTATAAACCATGTAAAAACAATGCCAATTGCATTAACAAAGAAGGAAAATGGGATAAGCAAGAATATGAATGTGTCTGTGACCCACCATTTACAGGTAAGACTGTTTTACTAAAACCACAATTTTAGTAAAATAGAACAGTACACTGAATTCATAAATTGTTACTGAACAAAAAAATTTACATTAAAAAATTTTTTTGTAGATCCCTTAGAATGGGCAACATTTGGATTCCTGACATATAAAAACTCTATCAGAGATCCTCTAAAAAAGTCATTTTGCTTCCTAAAAGAGGACTCTTACAATTATTGTTTTATAGTGAAATGCCTATTTTCATGCCTTTCACAAACTCCACTCTTAATTTCTAAAATATTAAAAAATGAAATTATCAGAGTAATTTAAGAATTGACAGTCACTGAATGAAATTCCCCAGATTAAGGTATTTGGGTAAACAATTCTGGGTATAATGAGGAGATGAAGTGTGGATCTGAGTAGAGGAAGTTAAGGAACTTGCATTTTAAAGAAAAGTCATTGAAGTTACTTGGCAGGGTTAGAGAGGAAGAACAATGTTTTCATGGATGTTGGTGTGGCCTTCAATACACTGATTTACAGACAATAATGACAAAGATGAAAATAAGATGATACAATTAATAACTGCTTGTAAAGCTAAATAAGAGGCAACAATCAGGAGAGGTTGTGAAAAGTAGATGTTCAGTGAGTGATTAAGCCAGAGGAATAGCTATCTAAAAACAATATAAATCACACTTCCTGAGGCTGAAGTGAGGGCTGAAGGAAGTATAAACTTTGTCTATTTGAGAGTTTACTAGACAAATTTGGGTCATCAGAAGTAAGTGAAAGAAAGATTGGAAAATTTTGTGGAGAATATTAAAAGCTGGAGAACTTGTGAAAGAATCTCTTTTAATGAGAGTTTCACAGTCTTGGCACAGAGAATTACAAGGAAAGCGAGTATGACTAGGATGATCTAACAAAGAAAAATATTTGACATTGCTGGTAATGATAGTATAGAAAAACAGCAGGTTGGTAGTGTACTTTGATCATGATAGAGGAAGAAGAATGAGTGACAGATATATCTGGAGCAGATCACACTCAGGGACTGAACTGTAATTTTTGGGGTCAGGTTTGAAGGGGCTTCCTTTTCCCATGTGTCTGGACCTGACCCCACTGCAGCCAAGCTTGAAGAGGCTGTGTGATAAAATTTAAGAGAAGACCTTGATAAGCTATTGTAGGCTCTAAAATTCACCTAATTCAATCTTTCGGAATAATTTTGGAATTGATAGTAGGGAAGTTCCAAGGTCATTTCAAAAGTCAATGCCAACAATATTTACTGAACATCGTGTCTCTGTAACTGGGATCAACTTTTCATTTGACTCCATTAGCATCAGTGACAAAAGTTGCAAGTTAAAGCTCTGACTTAGGCTGAGGTATATCCAGTAATTAAAGCTAAGGCAAACTAGAGAAAAAGTGAAAGCACTGAAATGACTGATTTGGAGTGAATGAAGAAAGCAATTTAGTTGAGAATCTCTAGCACTTTCATTTTAACCTGGCAAAAGAGGTTTAAAGAATATTTAGCCCAAAAGTTTCCATCACGTATCAGAATATTAATTTGCATATAGGCAATCGTTGTTCATAAAATATTATATCTTTGATTTTTATGGCAACTGCATAGACTGGTTTGCTTCTACTCAATATTTACCCTTTTTTTTACTTACTAATTTATTTGAAACATAGCCATAGGCACCTTAAATTATTAAACTTTAAGAAACAGAAACAAGCCGGTCTCGGTGGCTCAGCCTGTAATCCCGCACCTTTGGGAGGCTGAGGTGGGTGAATTGCCTGAGCCGGTGGGTTCGAGACTCGCCTGGGCAACTTGGCGAGACCTCATCTCTACAATAAAAATAAAAAATTAGCCAGACGTGGTAGTGCGCGTCTGTAGTTCCGGCTACTTGAAAGGCTGAGCTGAAGGATTGCCGGAGCCCAGCAGGTCAAGGCTGCAGTGGTCGGGAGCAGCCACTGCACTCTAGTCTGAGTGACAGAGTGAGACTCCAACTTGAAAAAAAGAAAAAGAAACAGAAACAATATATAAATATTAAGTTCACTGTATACTCCATTGTGCTACTTTAATGATAAATAATTTTAAATTGAAATTTAGGCTGGGATCGGTGGCTCAGTCTTTAATCCCAGCACTTTGGGAGGCCTAGGCGAGTGGATTGCCTGAGTCTGCAGGTTCGAGACCAGTCTGGGGAACTTGGCGAGACCGCATCTCTACAATAAATAAAATAAAGAAATTAGCCGGATGTGGTAGCATGCACCTGTAGTTTTGGCTACTTGAAAGACTGAGGCAGAAGGATCACCAGAGCCCAGTAGGCTGACACTGGCATGGCCATGAGTGTGCCACGGTACTCCAGCCTGGGCGACAGAGTGAGATTCCAACTAAAAAACAAAAAAATTTTTAAATCTCAGAAGATACAGAAATATGTAGAATTTCCAAAGCAATTATGAATGCTCAAGTCTGGCTAGGGTACCATAACAAATTTACCACACAGGATAGCTTAAACAACATAAATTTATTTTCTCACAGTTTTGGGTGCTGAAAGTTAAAGATTAAGATGTTAACAGATTTTGTTTACTCTGAGATCTTTCTGCTCTGAGGACTACTGTCTTCTCCTTGTGTATGTACAGTGTCTTTTTTCTGTACCTGTATGTCCATATTTCCTCTTATAAGCACACCAGTCGTATGGAATTAGGACCCACCTTAATGACCATATTTAACCTTAACTGTATACTTCTCTAAAGATGCTGTCTCCCAGTACAGTCACACTTTGAGATACTAGGTATTACGTTTTCAACATATAAATGGAAGGGACACAATTTAGCTCCTAAAACTCACTACTATTGAAATAGGGCATGATGGATTAAACACTTTACAGCTAATTGATTTGGGGAAAAAATTATAGAAAACAATAATATTATTTATATTTTCCTTGTGGGGACAGTTGTTTGGATGTAAATGTAGAAAAAAGAGTCCTGCATTAGTGAGGCACGGGTGTCAGTGTATAAGGAATTTGAAAGACATTATCGATAATGGCAAAAAAAACTGCTTTAAAATGATACTTTAAGAGTGCAAATAAATTTGGGGGGACATATTGCCAAATTATATTCAACTGTTTTGTAGCAGTATATTTCCACTTGCCATGCCCTGAGATTTCCTAGGCACATACCTCTACTAATTATATAATGAAATGATTAAATATGTACAGAACAAATATGCTATGTGATATAATAGGACCACAATAGTATGTGTAAGTGAGAGTTGGAAAATTAGATATACTAGCAAGGGCAAATATGTGTAGAATTTAATAATTTGTGCACTGCTTCTGAGGATCCAGGCAGCTATCTTTCCTTTTGAATTGTTCCCTTGGCTAGGTGGTAGGGTTGAGACCTGTACAAAACACATTTAAAAGTGTCACTTTGTAACTCACCACTCTAATATTACCAATGAATGTTTAAGAACTGGTGTTTACATGAATTAATATTATCTACCATCAATACCCAATTAAAGTTTTAAATTATCAAAAAATTAACTAAAGCTCAAATGCCAACAATGAGAAAAGCATTTTTTATATCATTGTATGAGATTAACAGATTTAAAAAACTTGATATCAAGTATCAATATTAATTTTCAATTCAATTTAAATTCATCATCATGTAACACTATTTCACAATTGAAACTACATTTTGTCAAAATTATGATGTTATTCACTATTAAAGAATTGAGGGAAAATTGATGGTCGTAATTAACTATATGCGTGTCAATAATTTTTTCTCACTTTTATAGGAATACATTGTTCAGAAATAATTGGCCAATGTCAACCACATGTCTGTTTCCATAGAAACTGCAGTAATATGACTACAGATCGTTTCATTTGTGAATGTAATGAACGATTTTCAGGTAAAAAAATCATACATGCATACAAATAATTCTAATTTTGTCTTATTTATTTAAAAGTCAATTTGAAATGTTTCATTTTTTATTGAAAAATACAATTTTAGGGATTATATACTTTGATCTTTCTTATTACTAAGATTTTAATGAATCAATTTGGCTAAGAAAATTAAATGATTATACTGCTAAATATTCCATAATATAAGAAGATTGTGAACTCCAGGTCATATGTTTTTCACTGTGCTAAAATATATCTTGTGCTTAACTACTAACATATTGTTAGAAAGAGTGCACATTTTGCACATAATTGGCTCACATCTAAGTTCCTTAGATAAAATGTCATTACAAAGCTCCTTTTATGAAGAGTAGTTTTTGTCATTCCTTCCCAAATGAATTTTTAAAAGTGAAATGAAAGCATTGCTTCAGCCAATAGTTTTTAAATTATTGATTAAATGTTCAACAGATGAATGCATTTTTAAATCACTTCTATCTTATCTTTGAACTCTTCTACAGTTTCCCATTTTCTTGGAAATGTAACTCACCCTCAGTATATCTGCCGTCTTTAAAATGTCTCTTGGCAATGGTATCTTCAGCCACAATTAGACACCTAAAGACTTCTTTTGTGGGAGTGAAATAGAATATACATTTCTCCATAATTCCAGAACATGGTAGTATTTCTGAGTGTTTTCCTTACAGATCTTCCCACCTGACTGATTTGAGGGAAATAAAATTTTGATATAGAACATTGGCCACTTCCACATAATAGTTAGTTATTATAAGTCGGGTAGTAATTACTCAGTCAACTATTTTCAAAGAAATATTTTTAGGGATATGAAGAGAGACTAGAGATTTAGAAAGAACCAAAGTCCTCTGATGATATGAGACAGTTGTGAGGTATCTTCAGTGCAGGTAATTCCCTGTTCACAAGAATAGGAGGTCTGACATGAGGACACCCAGAGAAGGCCTCTGTGGCACTAACCCTTAGTGGTACATGAAATAAACTACTAGCTGCATCAGGTGTTTTAGGAGGTCTGTGGGAAGTTATCAAGGCAAGAGAGTTTCTCCTTGTTCCAGCCCAGAGTTTTGGGAAAACTTGGGAAAAAACGATGGGAAAGAAAGATAGGAAAGGTCACAGTGACCTAGGACTGGAACCTTTCTGCCCTTTTGGCTTTCAAGTTGCCTTCCGTTCCAGAACAGCTGAGCAATCCATGAAGCTGAGATTCTGAAGGATTCTGCTCCAATTCTTCAGCTTAGGCCTCAGCTTCCTTCTTTTTCCAGGGGCAGCCTTAGTTCCCATAGCCCTGAAACACACATATATATTTTCCTTCGTTACCCAGAACCTACTAGCCCCTCAAAGCACAGAGTGAATCCTTTTTACAAGTGGAAGAACCCAGGGTGGCTGTCTTTAAATCTCTTAGAAATAAAGCCCTTTCTCTTTGTAGCTTTCCCCATGGAGCAGGAGTGAAGATGTGCCATTGCCTTGGGGCTGAGAAACCATTTCCCCAGGCTTCTCCCCCACCTCTCCATAGGAACTTGATCAGCCTTCACTTTTGGGCCCATCTGCTGCCTTCCCTCTACTTCCTACCAGCTCTTCTGCCTTCCTTTGAGCTTACAAAGCTTTAGAATCATAGTTTCTGGTTTCTCAGCTTTTCATTTTTTCTTCTGGGCCAGGGAGGAGTTTTGGGGGCTTTATTGGGAGATGGAGTATGTGGTGTTTCCTTTTTGCTGTTATCTTTACTTCTAAGCATTTGCCTTTCTTCCTTTCCCAACATAACATTCATGGTAACAGATGTGACTACTGATTTACAGATATTTAATGTAAGCAAAAAAGGAAAAAAAAAATGAGTTTTTTTTCCCCCTCAAGATTTCTATGTCCTTGAGACAGGTTGCAAGTTGAAAGATGTTTTAAATTATGATAGCCTGCATACGCACAGTGACCATATAATTAATCTTCCAAACCATAGCATAAAGAGCAAAATAAGTGACTAAAAGCAGTTGCGATTATATATTTGGAAACTTTATTTTTGCCTGGGAAATTAGTGATTTTTTTTTTTTTTGAGTTGGAGTCTCATTCGGTGGCCCAGACTGGAGTGCAGTGGCCGC